CAGGTAGTTCCTGTGCAATGTTAGGTGAATTTTCAGCATCTGTTGAGGTTTCTTCTCACATAACAAGCTAAGATACCATCTCTGAGGGAAAGGGCTGTACTGCAATTATACCCTCCAATTAACTGTTGTGTCCTGGGAAATCTATTTCCAGGTCCCCAGGCAGAAGACAGCCCAGCTGTTTGGATTGTTTCCTAATTCTCCGCATCCCCTTCACAAAGGAAACATTCAATATATATAACAATCATAAAATCCAGGCAAAATAGCAAAGGAGAAAAAAAATCAAGAAAAGGGTCTGGAATCATGAAGTTTTCAAGCTCTAGTTGCAGAATGTTCAAGAAATTCAGACTGCAGAGTGCCAGTGTCATGACTTCTTGTGACTTTATCTAGACAATTCTGTAATCGTCAAAGAGTATGCCTTCCACTCAAGCAGGGAGTTTTTGAAATCACTGATTTATTTAAACCACCTTTTAATTTAACCTTTGTGTTTGGAGATTCTAATTCATGTAGCTTAGCTTAATATAGTTTGGTTCTCCACTGAAAATGGTTCTACGAAACTGTAACACAGTGGAATAGAAACTTGGTGCGATTGGAGAAGCTGAAAGGTCATCTGGGCAGAGATTAATAAGAAAGAAGACATTTAATATATTGACTTCCATTTCACACATGCAAACTTGGCACACCAGTGCTGTCAGCTTTGGATTTTTTTAAATTTTTCCATTTTAATAAAAACGTAACTACATTACCCCATCCCATTTCTCCCATTGATCCTGCTCATGTCTCCTCCCTCCAACACCTCTCATATCTCCCATTCCCACCTCATTCACTGCAAAATTAAAAGCCTCATTTTCTTTGAATATACATAATATATGCATATATACACACACATGTGTACATGTTGTGTACATGTACTCACACATAGAAATTGTGCCCATTTAATGTTGCTTTGTGTATATGATTTGGGGTCTTTACTTCCTAGTGACAGATGTCGCAGCCATTTTCAGATGCAGACGAGCATGTCTGATGTCCTTAGTAAACACACAGAAAGACTTGGTATTCAGACTGTGTGGAAAGGTATCATAGCATTTATGCTGTTGATTCAAACTCCTGGCATTGAAAAATGAACTATTCCTATGGCCTGTTTCCATGTCTTGACCTCTGTTCAGACTTTCATCACTTGTCACTAATGTAGCAATAACAGATTCATGTTCATCTAGTGTTTTGTCTTTTCATCTATATTAACATTTTGTCTCATATCAGTGAGGTTTGAAAAATTAAGCCCCACTGTAAAAACGATTCTTAACTAGAATTTTCATGATGCATTACTGTAATGATTTTTCTTTAAAGACTTTTTTTTAAATTAAGTTTATGGAATTATGGAATTCCTGATACCTGCATTTAAGCTCTAGACATGGGAGTTGTGATTTCCTTTAATCATCTAACAGAGCATAAAAACCCAGAAGAGTAATTTCCCTTAATTACCTAATGGAGCATAAAACCCGAGAAGATTTCTTAGTGAAGACGGTTGCCAGAATCTTGCAGGTGGGGAGTTGCCAGGTAGAGAAGGAATGTGAAGGCTGCAGGTCACGGGAACAGCATTTCTGGAACGCTGTGATCTCGGGTAGGAAAGAGCTTGTTTGACTCACGTAGACTGGACAGCAGTTGAGATGGGAAATGACTGGGAAATGACCCACGTCCCTAAGGTTGAGCACCGTCTTTCATTATATAGAACTGAAATGGGAATGAATGTGGTATGTGTTAGAAATATTATATTTACTGAATGATTTTTACTCTTAAATACATCATACCGACATCCCCCAAATCCTCTTTTAGTAAGATCTTTGACTGTAAATTAAGACAGTGTAAATACAAGGGCAAAAGCAGCATAGATGTGGGCGTGGAAGAATATCTGATGGGATGCTGCATGTCTGCCTTAACAGACCAGGGTTATGTGGAAAACATTTGTTTATTTCCCTTTAAGACTCTTGAAATGAGGGTTTTATTTCTTGATCATAGTGTTATTATATATTATAATTTTTATTTATTTATTTATTTATTGGATTTTCGAGACAGGGTTTCTCCGTAGCTTTTGGTTCCTGTCCTGGAACTAGCTCTTGTAGACCAGGCTGGCCTCGAACTCAGAGATCCACCTGCCTCTGCCTCCCGAGTGCTGGGATTAAAGGCGTGCGCCACCACCGCCTGACATATTATAATTTTTAAAAAGCCAGCTGTGACATAAACTCTATACATTAATATTTATTTATTTATTTTAGCATTATGGATTGAATTGTTTTGAACTTCGTTGCTTAAAATGATGGGAAAAAAACTTTTAAACTGAAAATCTATTATCACTGACAGAGTGACTCAAAGTTGATGGTGATTTTGTGACTTCTTTTAAGAAGTGGAACTAGAGGTCTATACAGACCTGAGTGACATGCACTGCTACCCGAGGTCATGGCATCATAAGGGCCTGAGCTGCAGCCTGAACCGTGTCTGGTTAGATGGCCCTGTCACAGCCAGGGTCTGTGTTGATGTCCGTGGTTCCTGTTAGCACCGAAGGCAATGAGGACAGGGCTGCACAGAGTTGCTCCTGCCCCTCACTGGCTGCAGCACTAGGAAGAACTGGGTCTGCCCTTCCCCAGCTATAGTACTCAGGAGAGCAGGTCCTATACCTTGTCTGCGCAGCACAGTAGAGCTGACCCCATGACAGGGTGCTGGTGAGCTGGCCCTGAAGGGAGAGAGTGGGAGACTTAGCCTCACTATATTTCTGTCACAAGGTGGTGTGGGCAAGGGAGCCATGCCCTCCCCCGCTTCTCCACTCCTCCATGCCTGTGATGGGTGGAAGAGCAGGCCCTGAGGTCATGAGCGTGGGAGAGCTGCTCCTGCCCCTCACCAGCTGCAGCACTCGGGGGCGTGGGCCCTGTCCCTCACCAGCTGCAGCACTCGGGGGCTTGGGCCCTGCCCCTCACCAGCTGCAGCACTCGGGAGCGTGGGTCCTGCTACACCGGGTGAACTAGGCAGAGCAGAGCAGGAGATCTTACCCAGGTGCTGAGGGTGAGAAAGAACGAGGGGGTTGACCAACCCAGCTACCACCCGGAACCAAGGCTGTGAATTAGCCCTCCCCCAAATCCACCTCCTCTTATGAACTGCTGGGACACGTGAAGGGGCTGACCTGCAGGTGCAAAGCTTCAGAAACTCCATGACACAGAGCAACAACAGAATATCCAAGAGGAGTCCTCATGAAGGCTCAGTATCACTAGTGTAGCAGAAGCCTTGAACCAGACCAAGAACATTTACAAGTAAAGATGTATGGACTAAAGGGATACTGTGTGACTCACTGTGCCACACTGCAGCTTCCATACCAAGACTTTTTGTTTTTTGTTTGTTTTGCTTTGCTTTGTTTTTAATTTGTTTGTTCATTTGTTTGGGGGTTTTGTTTTGTTTTTGTTTTTACTTTTAAATTTGATTTTGGGGCAGATGTTGCAAGGACAGGGGGCAGACGGGAAGGGGTGAGGAGATGAATGGGATTGGGATGTATGGGAAATCCACAAAAAATTAATAAAAAGTAAAAAAAAAAGAACTGGCACAAATAAAAATACATGGTAACACTTTATATTTTTCTTTCTTTTTTATATCAATCGTATTATTTATTATTATTATTATTATTAAAAGTTTCCACCTCCTCCCCTCCTCCCATTTCCCTCCCCCATTCCTCCACTTCCCCTCCCCTCCCTCTCCAGTCCAAAGATATTACCTACTGATGACCTCCTCCTCGCTGTCCCCCTCTTCTTTTTCTTCTTCTTCCCCATCTTCCCCACCCCCTTGCCTCTTTGTACATGCTTGTTAGCTTTTAAAGAGTTCAGTAGAGTATCTCAGTTTTCTAGGTTCTAGGTATCAAGCCTACCACTTTTTGTTTTGTTGTTGCTGTTTTGTTTTTTTTGTTTTTCAAGACAGAGTTTCTCTGTAACTTTACCACTTTTATTTTGAAAACCGTACCTTCACATGACAAGAGGGAGTCCTGCTTTTTATTTTCTTGAAAAAGATCTTTCTCATTTAAATAATTTCCTCTTTTATGTAATATTTTCAACTAAAATGATACTTATTATAAAATGTTCTGTTTCTCATTTATCAATTAAATAATTTCCTATTTTCTCTAAAATTTTCAACTAAAATGGTACTTATTAAGCAGAATTTTGTCTGTTATGCCGAAAAAAATTAATTGAAAAAATCTTCTTCTTCCTTTTTCTAATACTCAGTGTGTAAAAACAAAACAAACAAAACAAAACAACCAGTTCCCTTCCCGAAATGTGTGAACGGTCTTAGGCAGTGTACCATTATAAGGCCAGAATAGCAATGCCCGTCTTAAATAGCATGCCAGTACAGGGCCAGTATAGCAATACCCAACACCCTGGATTGAAGTAAGAGTTATTCTAGACGTGGAGGATTTGCTTATTTGTGTTAAAATGTTCCTACTCTTTTAAGTTTCTTATTTAAAAGCCTTTGAAAGGTCATTCACATGTTCCTTCAAGTCCTAGTTGCCCTATTCTGGTTTGTTATTATTTTATCTTATTTTTTGTTTTATTATTATTTTATAGATGCCTATTTGTATTCTAATGAGAAAGAGAAAGAAATGGTGTTTATTTTGGATAGGTAGGGAGTTTGGGAAGAACTGGAGGAGGGGGAAAACATAATCTGAATATTTTATATAAAAAAATCTATTTTTCAATAAAATAAATATAGTGAAAGTGTGTGATCAGCTCAGAACTGAGAAGATGAAAGAAACATGGGCCCTCTTGGGATACCTAATTCCTTGATGTGTATGATGCCTTTGAGATTCCAATTTAAGATTCCCACTACTGTGCCAATGCCATCCTGAGAAATGTGGCCGAGCTAAATCCAAACAACCTTGGCTGATGTGAACCAGCACACAATCATTCCAGGTGATGCAGGTTTAAAGACACTGTTTATTAATCCCACAATGTTCTTTCTGTAACCCTTCTCAGGAAGCCCCTGTGGTGGCCAGAGCAGCTCTGTTCCTGGAATGTGCCCGTTTTGTTCACCGGTGTAACCGGGGCAACTGGCCAGAGTGGATGAAAGGCCACCATGTGAACATCACCAAGAAAGGCCTTTCCCGGGGCAGGTCTCCCATTGTGGGCAACAAGCGGAACCAGAAGCTGCAGTGGAATGCTGCCAAGCTCTTCTACCAGTGGGGAGATGTGAGCCTTTGTCTTTCTTCTGCAAAACTTAGGGCATTTGAGTGGAATGAAGTTTCTTTTAGTGATTTGTTTTAGAGAGAGCATATTGTCTGCTATAATCCATATACTGAATGAACACTTTGGGGGGGGGTAATCGTTTAACATCCCCCAACAAATCTATAAGGCTAAATATTACTGTTTGGTTTTATTCTTAAGGACACTGAAGTTTATACAGGGCAAGTAACTTGGCAGATTGCATATAGTTGAAATAATCAGTATTTCATCTCCCATTTTGGATTCCAAAGCATTGGATTTAATTAATGTATTCAAGAATCCTCTTTACGGTCAAATCATTGCTATTATTTTAAAAATATTTATATCCTGGAAGGATAATTTTTTAAAATTGTAATGTTTTATATTCGTTGGCAATTTTATGTGTGTATATGCCAGTTTTATGCATTTTCACCTCCTACCCATGATCCTCTCTCAACACCCTCTTCCCCCTGAAACCTTTTCCTCTGAGAAGCCCCTGATATTTTGTTGTATTATTTTTCTTCACTTGCTGAGTTTTATTTTGGGTACTTGCGTGATCGTGAGTATGAGGGATGCTATTTACCAGACATGGGCTACTTAGCACTGGTTACACCACTGAAGAAATGATATCTCCCCCAGCAAAGGTTTACCACCCATAGTCCCTTCCTTCTCTCTAACTTGCTAATAGATCTTTTCTTCTCTTACTGCACCATCCATCTATGTATATAGGTATAGATATGAATAAGTGAATAAGAAATATATTACTTTGCTTTAAGAAGTCTAACAAAATGGACCCTTATAATGCCAACTACCTCACTGTAGGAAAGAAGAAAGTGAAGAATAAAAAAAAAATTCTAGGAGACTAAAGTTTTTTTCCTCCTATTTTTAAGCAGAAAGAAACACAAACGCTTCTTAAGGGCTCAATATCCCCATATTGCTGGTGTAGTTCCCTCAGGGACTCAGAATTCAAGAATCATCTTTATGATGAGATTGTCGATATTATAAAATACTTGTATACTGGAGGCATAATTTCTCTTTTTAAAACTGTCATGTTTTTGTTCTTTGGCAATTCTATGTGTGTATATGCTGGTTTTATGCATTTTTTTGCCTCCTATCTGTTATCATCTCTCAACCTCCTCTTACCTATGAAACCCCTCGACTAATGCTGCTAATTCAGAATTCTCTCCTCTGGAGAAATCAGGATTGTCTCTTCTGCATAGTGATTAAGAAGGCATGCACTGTACCAAGATTGTGTGCTCTCTGTCCATAAACACGAACACATTAATCTTGTTCTCTTTTATTGCCTTTTCTATGAGTTATCTCGTATGACCATCCTATGTAAAATGATTATGTGAGGTATGTTTCATAAATATCAGGCAGTGTTCTTTGTGACTTCTAACCTTCATGGTCTGTGCTTGGCGTTGCCTTTTCCAAGCTTCTCTTGCACAGTTTATATGAGAGAATATCTTCTTCCTATATGGCATCCAGTCTTTAGAAATCAGTGGGTCAAGTTACATCACTCTACAATATTTTTCCTGCATTCTGTTATGCTTAATTTAATATTAAACACAAGAGTTTATACAGGTCAAGTAGTATAGGCAAAAATTTATCATGAGACCCAAAGATACTCCAGAGCCACAGGGGCAAGAGGAAGGGAGATCCTTTCTTCAATGCCTGCCAGCAGTGCCTGACATAAAGTTAACATTCATAGCTGTGAGACCAAGCTTCACTAGACAGGAAATCCATTCTGAGCATTATTTCTACACTTCCTTTCCTGTTGTAACCTTAATTTTTTGTGTCACTGTAGAATAATTTGCTAAGTCCTTTTCACTAGATTTTAAATGAACTGAATCTGGGCCGACAGAACAGCTAGCGAAGTGCTTGCCGGTGAGGACTGGGGCTCCAGCCCCAAAACTCAAGCAAGAAAAACAAACCAAGCATGGTAGTACATGCTTGAATTCCCAGTGCTGGGAGGCAGAGGCGGGTGAATCCCAGAGATATTACCCACCAATCTAGTCCAGTCAGTGAGCTCCAGGCCAGCAAGAGACTCTGTCTCACATAAACGAAAGTTGGTACTGCCTGAGGAACAATGCTAGAGTTTGACCTCTAGCCAATAAGTATACATGCACACATACATGTTCACAAACACACACATAATAAATAAATACTATTATACTATGTGTAGGTTAATTTGTCAGAGAACATGATAAATGTATGCAATTATTGAGCCTCATGACACATGAAAGCCTGACATCAGATTTTTATGTTAATTGTTCGTTCTATCTGACTAGGATGGTTTGTGCCCCAGAGTTTAGATTTACCATCAATGTTTTAGAGAAGGTAAATATATTCATGGCCCAGCTGGAACTATCTCACCTATAAACTAAAATCTTAATTAATAAGTGGTACCGCTTCACCATTGTCTCTCTTAAAGTGAAGATAAAAATCATATAAATTTTCAGGTCAAAAATTTAAGATCCCACAGTGTTGTTTTGTTGTGCGAGAGGAGGGCCTGCTTTTGGTCCCAGCCGCCCTGCTAGCTTATACCCAAAATAATCACACAGAAACTTTATTCATTTAAATCACTGCCTGGCCCATTATCTCTAGCCTTTCATTGGCTAACTCTCACATCTTGATTTAACCTATTTGTAATAATCAGTATAACACCACGAAGTCGTGGCTTATCAGGAAAGATTCAGCATGTCTGATCTGGCAGCTCCATGGTGCCTCTCTCTCTCTGCCCTTCTTCCCAGCACTCAGTTCTGTCTACCCCGCCTACCTAAGTGCTGCCCTATCAAATGGCCAAGGCAGTTTCTTCTTTTTTTTTTATTTTCTTTACCAAATAAAAGGTTTTCAGCTTTTATTTCTTTCTACACATAAGAATACAAATATAATTAATATACATTTAGATAAATTGTATATTTATATATTTATTTATGGAAATGTGTGTGTGTGTGTATTGCTCAGAATAGTACTAATTCAACTTTAGGAAACTTGGTACGCCTAATACACATAGTTAAAATAAATTAAACATTTTTATGGAAAGTTATATTCTTAGCTCATTAATACTGTTTGTGTTATAGGTCATTTTGTGTCGTATTCAGATTATGGCATTCTAAAATCATTTTCATTTAATACATTTTCTATGTAGTTACATGTTGAAAGATAATTTCTTTGTTAAAATATTATTGTATACTCCTTAGTAGTACTGCATATAATATATTAATTAATCAACAGTGCTTTAAATCATCTTTCTCATATTCAAGTTCTTGACTTTGATCTTTGCATCTTTGTTTTCATGTACTCTCTTCTCTTAGTTCATTTCATATGAATGAATTATTTAATTCATATACTTTTGTATTCATTCACTTCTAAATTTATTCCAAGGCAGTTTCTTTATTCAACCAATGAAAGCAACACAAGGACAGAAGGACCTCCTATACCATTGCTTATTTGAAAAATGTTCTTGCTTCCCCCATTCCCTGGCCATAGTTTAACCCTGTCTCACTCTTGTCACCTGTGTTCCAGGTGTTGTTGTTCCTAAAAGTTTGAGCAGTTTTGGAGTTGTTCTGTTGATGTGAATTTGGAAACAAATGTGCATTTTCAAAAAAAAAAAACTGGCTAGTTACTTTGCCATGCAGAAACATTTGACCCCTTTTAAACTCTCTTCCTCATTTGAAGAGTATTCCCCTCCCTGACCTCACATCTTTTCTCCCCATATAGTCATTGCCTGAGATCTTTTGTAGTTTCTTCCTGTGTGATCTTCCTGGGGTAACTCAGTTCCTGTGTGTCCAGGGCTTGATGTGTGACAATAGCGCAGAGTAACCTGTCTGCTTGAGATCGCAGGTCTGCATTGCCACCTTCGTCTGGGAGGTGGCTTCTGGATATCCCCAAACTTAGTCCGACCAAAGAAAACCCGTCTTCCTAAATACACACTCATCTGCATTGCGTCTGACCTGTCGGCTCACGTCGGTCGTACCACCAGCATGTGACACGCCCACCTTTTGGCACATTCCAAATCTGTTTCTGCTGATTCTGCCTCTTCTATTCAGAGTCTCATAGGTCAGACCTCATTACTTCAAACTCTTCCCAGCCACACTGTAGAATCTGTCTTGCACACCTCCATAGGACACAATCTATCCAAAAAAGGATGTTCACACTGGTCTCCCTGCCCCCAGCCTTGTCCTCTCTGATTCATTCTATAAACTACTGGCTGTTTGGCTACGAAAAAATGGTTTTAGTGCCTTCCCCTTTTCCTTGAGTTACAACCCAAATTTCTTAGGTTGGTATCATTGTCTGATCTTAAGTCATTTCTAAGATTAGAGGTCATGAAGTTGAATGAGATCATTCACACAAAGCACATTTATTTTTTGCCTTCATATTGTAAATTTACTTTATAAATTTGGTATTATATTTATATCATGTATTTTAATTATATATTACATTTAATATTATAACTATATGTTATATAATTAATAACATATAAAGTTATAAATTTATATAAGCAGTAGACTTCTATAGCTTTTAAAGCAAAGCTTTATGACTTTTTACTGTCTTCCTGAGCAGGCAGCACAATAGTCCTCAAATGGCTCCTTAGGCTACCCAGTCGTAAGGTGCTGTTCCAGCCTTCCTGCACATTTTCCTCATGGTGAGCCTCTGAATGCCTGGTTTACTGCCCAAGTCCTAGAAACTTTTAGGCCCCTTCAAGTGAACACCAATCTCTCCCTTTCTAGTCAGTCAACACACCAGCCTCTCTAGGTCTGTGGCAATGAAATGCCTCGCTCTTGGAACCGAGTTTGATGTTTTTCTTCTGCTCTCTCCTCCCTGGAGACTCCGAGTGTAGTAAGGAAAAGCAAAGGAAGCGGCATCATGGGATTCTGTCCACAGCTGGTCTCTTAAGCTCCATAACTTCCCTGTTCGTCAGTGATCTTCCTGTAAGTGCATTGATAATTTATCAGGGCACATAGAAAAAGAGGCATCAGTGCACTTCAACAGCTTATGTAGGTTCGTGTTTCATTTAACGCCTTACAAATCCCCTCACTCTGTAAATGTTTCACGAGTGGACGTGGAAAGGAGTCACGTCTCCTTAGGCATTCCTCCAGCCTTAGGTGAAATATAGAACCTTAAATTAGTATTGAGATATTAATGTTATCTTGGGCAGGTTCAGAGTTTGATGTTTTTTTATAAACTGTGGGCTTAATTTAAATTATTTCATTATAATATCCCAGAATGATCAATGTAGAAAAACAAAACAAACAAACAAAAATCTCCTTTGAGTTTTGCCATCCCGCTGGCTTGCATCACTCCAAACTCATTACACCTCTTCCTCAGAACAAGGTCTTCTATGGTGCTGCTTCTGGTCTTGTTTTGTTTCTTTAAAACTTCTGAAGTCAACAAGTCCATCATTGTCAATTAATTCCATTTTCTTTCTAGAAGTTTAACAAATTCAAAACAGTTGTTCTTGGGGTTGGGAATTGAACTCAGTGGTAGAGCGCTTGCCTAGCAAATACAAGGCCCTGGGTTCAGTCCTCAGCTCGGAGTGGAGGTAGGGAATTAAAAAAATTTAAAACCCAGTCATGCTCAAATTGAAAGCATTCTGGGTGCACTTTGCACATCTGTTCATGGGTACAGGTTGGTGTCCTTGCATGCCTAGAACTTTGTAAGTATGGAACAGGAAGAAAAGGCTGAGCTGGGGTTTGCTTTTATTAAGGCATAGAGCACAAGACTGTCAGCACCCAGGCAGTGTGCGTTTTAGCTTTATCCCTGAGACCCCTTCCTAAGGCTGTGTTCTTTCATTGTTGCGCAGTCTACATAGCTGGATACAAAGGGAACAGGGTGGAGATGCTGTAGTCACCTTTTATGGAAAATTCCTTTGGATAAATTGTGGAACCACATGTCATGATTCAGAAGAACAGATAGCAAGAGTCTGGTTCTGTGTGTGCCACGTTAAGAGTCAATACTGTCAGTATGCCAAGTCATTAAAAAGTCCCGCTTCTGATGTGGTTTTAGAAGCTCTACCAGAAGAACAATTAACATTTCTTACTAACTTCCAGCTATCATGGGAGGGAGAAGGCTCCATAAGTGCATCCATAATGATATTATAAATAAAACCACAGGAATAGAACTCTTGCCAACTTCCAAACTCATTAGCATGGCACCGACATTCTGATAAAATAGCATAATCAGAAGCACTCAAAGGAGCGATGCTTTCTTGTTTCTTTCACTGCCCTAAAACCCTCTGATAAAAATAACTAATGCAGGATGGGGAGATTGCTCAGTGTGAGAGTGCTTTCTTCACAAGTACGGGGACCTGAGCTTAAACCCTTAGTACCCACATAAAAGGTCCAGTACGGCCACCCCTACTTATGTAGAATAGATATACAAGTCTCTCTAGGACTTCAAACACCAGCCTAGCTCAGGATTCACTGAGACAGCCAGTCTCAAAGAAATAACATGAAGAATCATTGAACAGAACACCCAATATCTTCCTCTGGACTACACATTGCACAAATGCACATACCTACACACTTGCTGTGCATTCATATCAGAGAGAGGGAGAGAAAGAGAGAGAGAGAGAGAGAGAGAGAGAGAGAGAGAGAGAGAGACAGACAGACAGACAGACAGACAGAGACAGAGAGAGAGAGAGACAGAGAGAGAGAGAGAGACAGAGAGAGAGAGAGAGAGAGAGAGAGCACTGCTTGCTTGTTTCTGTAGTTGACTTTTTAGTTTTTATTCTTTGTCTCTTTTGTTCTTCTACTCTTTTGAGGGTCCCACCACCCAACTCCCCAATAAATACACAGAGGCTTATTATGTCTTATAAATTCCTGGCCTTAGCTTGACTTGTTTCTAGCCAGCTTTCCTTAATTTTAACCCATCTATTTTTTGCCTCTGGGCTTTTACCTTTCTCTTCAGTAAATCTGACTTTCACTCTTACTCCTGTGTGACTGGGTGACTGGGTGGCCGGCCCCCAGTGTCCTCCTCTTTTTGTTCTCTTGCTCTTCTTCTCTCCTCCCTGATTTCTCTTTCTACTTCTTCTTTCTACCTCCAAGCTCCGCTTTTCTTTCTCCTGCCCCACTATTGGCCACTCAGCTCTTTAGTAGACCATCAGGTGTTTTAGACAGGCAAAGAATCACAGCTGCACAGAGTTAAACCAGTGCACCATAAACAAAAGCAACACACCTTAAAATAATATTCGACAACATGCTTCTTTACATTAGACCTACAAAATGGATGAACCTTGAACAAAGGTGGACATTTGATTCATAAAGATGTTTTCACATGCATACAAAAGTGTCATTCCGCTTTTCCAAATCTTTACAACTAGTGACTCAGGAGATGGCACTGTTCCTCCTTTAGATTCCTGTTGACAAAGATGGTGGTGGCAGCACAGAGTATTCACGAGGGTTGTGGGAGTTCACGCCCATCTTTGGGCATGTGATGTTTTAGGCTCTGTCATCCTCCGGGGTTCACTTGTTCCTTTTCCACTGCAGGCAATTGGCATCCGGTTGAATGAGCTGTGTCATGGAGAGAGTGAGAGCCCTGCTAACCTGCTCGGCCTGATCTATGACGAGGAGACCAAGAGAAGGCTGCGAAAGGAGGATGAGGAGGAAGACTTTTTAGATGACAGTAAGGAGACCCCCTTTACTACGAGAGCCCCTGCTTGTAAGAAACTGCTTTAGGAGCACTGAATACCTCGTTCCTGTCTCATACTCCCTCCACCTCCCTACATCTCCACAGACCATCCGTCGTCTCCGCATGTGGACGTGAACGCATATGCATAAACCAGAGGTGGGGCAGGGAGAGAAAAAGAGAGAATGAACCAAAGTCAGGGGAGAAGGTAGATGGGCAGAGCGTGGCAGGCATGTGGAAGAGACATTACCTTTTAGCCTCTGCTTCTTGCTGTTACCCAGAGATTCAAACTAAACTTCTGAGTGAGAAAATGTTGTGAAAAAATTGCTTTCCCAGAAAGGTTTTCATTTCTTTAATTTTTGTGGAGGGGAAGGGTTATGTTGTTACAACATTGGGAAAGAAAAACATCATTGCATAATAGAATTGAACAAGAAATGCTTCCCAGCGGCTGGGGAGGTCGTTCCAGAGGTAAATAGCTTGCTGCACAAGCGTGAGGACTTGAATTTAGGTCTTCAAAGGCCCCATTAAAAAACTAGACACAGTTGAGGGAGCACTGGGAGACAGAGAGAGGAACGTCCGCAGAACTCATGGCCAGTGTGGTCAGTCATGCTGGCGGAATGGATGGGCTGACTCGCCGAAAGAACCGAGCTTAGAACAAAATTTTACCCGTGGAAAGCTTTTAGAGAAAGACACTTGACATCAATCCCGGGCCTCCACGTTCATGCGCATACGTTTGTATCCACATACACGTGTGCACAAACCTATACTAGCAAGTATGTAGACCACACCACACACACAAAAAATGCGTTCCAAAGAACTAAAGCATTGACCTGTTTAATCAGAGCATGTTGCGGGATTAATAAGTAATTTAAAGTTTGTTAAGCTGTGATTGTTCCATGATGCAGCTATGAGAGTTGCCATAGAAATAGAGGTGAGAACATTTCTGCTACATTCTGCTACAGCATCATTTTGTACATATGTGTGCTCTGTACCACACAAGGCTAAGTGAGGGTACAGTGAGAGGCATTTTCTGGGTGTGAATTCGAGTTGACCTGTGGAATCTATCTTCCCAAAATGGGAGTAGAAGTGTCTTCCATTAACCTTTCTTCTTCATCTGCAATTCAAGTTCTTTGGGTATATTTTAAGGGTCATCCTTGTTTAATTTGTACCAAATGTGCAACTTCCTTGTGTCATGGCATATAAAGTAATGGCTAAATGATAATGGTGGAAAATATTAAATATTAAGCAAGGAAAACTTTTTCTGTATTTTTCTCCCTATTTGTACCAAGAATTTTGTGGGGTTTTTTCCATTATTTAACTCCCTTTTCATACCTTATGAAGTCAAAGAAAATTTTGACATCTCTATTGATAAAATTCTGAATTTCCACATGGGTGTGTCAGCCCAATGATAAAAGTTAACTCTGAAGATAATCTAGCCTATTTTTTGAATAATTCTGGGTGTTTAATTTCACTCCTAGGTTAAACAAAACTTATTGAAGTTGCCATGAATGCCAGACAGACAGACACTGTGCACTGAGAAGCCACTCAGAGGTCCTGCTGTGTTGAAATAGGAGCGGTGGGGCTGTGTCCCCAGCACCCCAGCCGCCTGGTTAGCTTATGTCCCGAAATAACAACACACAAACTGTATTCTTTTAAACACTGCTTGTCCCATTAGTTTCAACCTCTTAACCCATTTCTAATAATCTATGTAGCACCACGAGGTGCACTTACCAGAAGATTCTAGCCTACGTCCATCCTGGGTTGGAGATCATTGCGTCTGCCTTAGAGAGCAGAGCTATTGCGTGTGTCTGGGAGAGCAGAACATGGCGTCTCTGCTCCAGAGGGCAGAGCTGTCGAGTCTGAGCTCACTTCCTTTTCCTCCCAGCATTCTGATCTGTTTACTCCTCCCACCTATGTTTTAACCTATCAGGGCCAAGCAGTTTCTTTATTGCTTAACCAATGAAATCAACAGATTGATATATGACACTCCCATATCACTGCTGAGTGGAGGGAGCTGAACAATAAATGAGCACACCCCCCTAGGTGGCAACGTGCCATCTGCCTCAAACCGCAAAAGCTCCATTAATTCCTATGTGATATCTGGTGCAGCAGTATTTGGTTTGAGTGTGTAGAGTTCCATCTTTTCCCATGGTGACAGAATATTTCAGATAATAATCAGGAGAGAGAACTAGCCAAGTTCACTGCCTGCAGAATGTTTAAGAAGTGTCTGAATGACAATCTCATGAGTGGAAAGACAAATCCAGAAGTTTTCAGAGTATCCACTCTTCAATTATTTTTATTATAATTATTAGTTTTAATTATAAATATTAATAATATTTAATATAATATTGTAAATTATTATAATTATACAATTATTCCACTTATTTTATTATGTCTTTTCCAGACATAATCTTCCAATGTAGCACAGGGTGGTCTTGATCTTGGGATCCTCCTGCCTCAAACAGCCGAGTAGCTGATAACACAGGCCTCTACTACCATGCTCTCTATAAACTTGTTTTTATGTACATCTAAGTAACTTTTAAAGTCCTGTATCCTCCTTGGAGTATAAGACTGATATGTGTGATTTTCCAGAGATTATGAAGTTGTTATGAGTGATTTAGCTAATCTTGCACTCCAAAGCTAAATATAATATAAGCACCTGCCTTTTTGGAAATTTCACAAAAGTGAATTTGTCTCTTCCATTCTTAATGAGGGGCAGATTTTCCATCCATGTTTTAACTCTTAAAAAAAAAGAGGGAAAAATGGACTTTATACCCTCAGAAGACCAACTTCTACATTCTGTGTCAAAAAGTCATGTATACTATTCAGTTAATAAATCTCATTATACCTCTTTCTTTCTTTTGTAAGAGGCAGAATAGTAGATGGCCTTGTTCTTTGCTGAAGCTGAAGTTAGTCAGGATGTTTCTTCATGGTTTCTGGTAATACAAGTCTCACAACTGATCCTGACAGTTTTCGTGTCCTGTTCTTCCCTTGGCCGTTATCAGTCTCCTGACCAAAATCCATCAGTTGTTTCACAGAGTAAAACACCAATATTCTTCACAGTAAAAGAGACTATCAGTCACTTCTGGCATGTTGTTGTAATAAGGCTGCTTGTTCATCCTGGCTGCCCAGAACCAAAATAATCACACAGAAACTGTATTATTTAAATCACTGCTTGGCCCATTAGCTCCAGCTTCGTATTGGCTAACTTCTATATCTTAATTTAACCCATTTCTAGTAATCTGTGTATCACCATGAGGCCGTGACTTACCAGCTAAAGCTCTGGCATCTGTCTCCAGTGGGGCTACATGGCTTCTCCCTCTGTCTCCTCCTTCTTTCTCCCAGTATTAAGTATCGTTTTCCCCACCTACCTCTATTCTCTGTGCAGGTCCAAGACAGTTTCTTTATTAAACAATAGTATTCACAGCATACAGAAAGGAATCCCACATCAGCTGTGTATTAACTGTGACAGGACAGCTTTATTAAAATGTGTGCTATAAATTGGGCATGATGGCACACGCCTTTAATCCCAGCACGTGGGAGGCAGAAGCAGGAGGATCTCTGTGAATCTGAGGCCAGCCTGGTGTACATAGTGAGTTCTAAAACACTCAGAGCTATGTAGAGAAAAGCTAACACACACACACAGAGACACACACACACAAAAGTGTAGTATAGGTGACATATTTTCTCATATCTATGTTGCACCCACACTAATTGAACTAGAGCTGAAAGAGCTTCATAGCTCTCAGAAGACAAACATCCCCAAAACAAATGCCCCTTCCTGAAATGAGCAGGAAGGACTTTAGGTCTCCAGGAATAGTGGGTTGCCACAGAAACAGTTAAGACATGACTAAACCACAGGGTGACTTTTAATTCTGTTTTCACAATCAGTCTTCTTGTGATGTTTGAGCTGTATTGTATTGCCGTATGTACTCTAAACAGAAACATTGACTTTCGCTTGTCTGACACTTTAATAGCGAAGCACCTGTTAATACAACTGCCGAGTGGAAGAAGAGAGGTGGGTGAGCATGCCCAGGTCATGCTAACAGGAGTAGGTAAATTGAGGTTGTGTAGGAAGTATTCTCATCAGTAGATTAATATTACATGATGTCATGTAGGTCCATCACACCATGACCCTCTATTTGTTATTGGTTTGTCTTCTCATGAAGAATTCTTCCTTTTCTTAGGTACTGTGAACCCCTCTAAATGTGGCTGTCCCTTTGCCTTGAAGATGGCAGCTTGCCAGCTTCTCCTGGAGATAACCACCTTCCTGAGGGAGACCTTTTCTTGCCTGCCTAGACCTCGCACTGAACCTCTAGCGGTATGTTAAAGCAACATGTGTCAATAGCCAGGCTACTTGGAGAAAATGAAATACAGCTGGGTTTCAGTATTCCCAAAGTCTTTAAATGCTTGGAGGTCAAGTGCGTTCTGTGATTTAACATTTTAATCAAGGGCTTTCAGAAATCACTAGAGACAGCACTTTCAGGACCAGCATGTGCCCAATGATCACCACTAATTTTGATGGAAATATCTAGGAGCCTATATCCTTTTCCCTTACAAACAATGAGGAGCTTTATGGTCAACATTATTCAGGAATCATTAGCTGATTTTTTGTATGACTAGCTTCCAGGTTCATATAAATGTGCTTGCTTCCAGAGTTTTCAGACTAATAGTATGATGTTTAGATTTTCAGCATTTCCAATCTTGTACTTAATTTCATAGCATTTCTTGTGGATTATGAATAGACAGAGGCGTGACACTGCATACACACACACAATAAACATATAGGCACATAAAATACAGTCATGTGCCAGGAATTACTTATTTCACTGTAGACAGAAATACTATGCAGGGCCATACATCTTCAGGGTGTGCGGTAACAGCGAACACCTTGGGCTTCTGAGTCCCTGATGGAAACCAATGGTGCTTTCATCATTCAGCCTGCAGCTTTACTGAAAAGCCAGACAAAACCTTCTCTTTTATACAAGGCTTGTCACAAACTGTCACACCAACTTCCATTTTTTTTTTAGAACCTATTCTGTTTTAAAGCCAAACAGCATGAATAAGCCAGTACCCCAACCCTAGGGTGGGGCCAGAGGTTGGATTAAAGAGTCAGTGTTCCCCTACCATGGAACACGGTCTCTGGTTTTAGTTTTCCAATGCTGTAGAAAACTCATTTCCTCTCATCCTAAAAAGAATGGATATTTTCAAATTAGAAACATTTATGAATGAAATGCTTGTTTTTAAGAGAAAACTACCCTCTCCTGAACTGTGAAACTGGACCATTTGACTACTGAAAGAGGAAATTCCAGCTACTGCCCTCTGTGACATCATGTTGACTTGGCCTTTACTTTTCTGAATTGTCGTTTTCATCGTGCTCTTGAGAGTTCTCTCTATAAAGTCAGATCAGGGCACCATGATGCATGCACTAAAAGTCAAGCCAAACAAAGCATCAGACCTGTCAACACTCGCCAGTACCGATCCTTTTAGCCTCCTTATTAATGCAATCTTCAGAAAAGCATTGCATACATCTGATTTCACGTTTTCAGATCAGCCGCAATTCTGGTAAAAATAATCAAGGATCTGTTTCATTCAGTCGTTTGTTCTACCTTTTAACTCTTCAAGTTCTACCAAAGTGACTCTTGTTAGTGAGAAAATTCCGTTTCATGAGTCTATCATATATGTTGAGGAAAATTTAATAATCATGTCCCCTTGAAGACCTGTCAGTGAAAAGTGAGACTTTTCATGTTTTCTAAATCAATCAGGTCTTTTTAGCCTGAGAACATGGCACCTGTCAGGACAACAGAAGGCAGGAAGGTCAGCACTCAAAGGATCACAAGCCAGGCTACATGGCATGGCCCTGTGACAAGCAGAGACTGTACAACCAACTAGAAGAATTACAGGGAGTGCAAAGAAGGAAACCTAAAAAGCCTAAGACAAGAATCGCAGCCGCCAGACATATACTGTCAGGTGACAGCTTGTCCTCTTCACCCTGAACTAGGTTTCTGAGAACTTCTGTTCACTACAGCAGCATTGTCACTGTTAAATGTAGGCTTACATATCTTTTAGTCTTTCCTTTGTGAGATGATAAAATGTTTACACCATTCTCCCTTCCTTTTCCTCCCTCCAATTTTTCCCATAAACCCTCAGTACAAAATCCCCCATAGAGGCTCTGGCCCCATACAAGCATTTTCCTAAACCTGAACTGACTTTCCACACTTATGTACTAAGAAACTTCAATTAAGGTTTACCTTGAATGGCAGCCCCTCCCGCTACTCCAAATATTATCTTCCATTTCTTCAGTTCCAAAGTCCAAGACAGGCCTTCCTAAGCGAAGATCAAGGTAGTGGTGTGGTTGACTTTCTGTGGGAGCAGAAGAATCTGCCTGCCTCCTTGCTCCTTTCTACCTTCTAGAAACTACTGCACCCACCTCACTCTCCTTCTTCCAACTTCAGAAGCATACTGAAGCTCACTCTGTTCATAGCCAGGGAAAGATCCATTTCTGAGAATGCGTGTAATTAATTAAATTTGGTCCACTTAGCTAACAAGGTATAATCTCTCCGTCATAAAGTCATTAGCTTTAACTGTATCCCCAAGGTTCACGTTGCGGTGTAAAACAACATATTCTCAGGCCCTGAAGATGTAAGGTTTAGATATCTTAGGGACTGCTCTATTACTGTTGTCTCCAAGTCTGATATCTAACTCCTACACTTGGGGTTTATTATGTATGATTTCCCATCTTCCATCTGAGAATTCTGAGTTTCTCAGAGAAGGGATCATTTCTCACCTATGCCATTATACCTATCATATTCAAATTGAAAGTGTGACATACAATGACATCCCTAAGACATTGGACAAAGAGTTAGCAGGTAAAGGAGCTAGCTCGAAGTCCTGTTTTGTGGAAGATAAAACACATAAGAAGTTACCAGTTAAGGAACACTTGTTTTACAAATCAAGAATATTTTTTCAAGACCACAATTTAAAATGAGCAGTAAGGAAATTTTAAGTGTAATCAAATGCAATTCAGCATGAATCGAGGTTTGCCACAATATCAGTGCCGTCGGAGGAGCAGCGAAGCCCCTGCCTATCATTGCAGCATTTGGGAAGCTGGGGCAGAGACAGGGCCTTGAGACCAGTTTTCTGGCTTTTGTCTCAGGACAGCCCAGCATGGACATGCTCTTCTATGCCTTTTCAGGACTTGGAGAGCTGCAGGCTCCGTCTGGATCCCGAGTTGGACCGGCACAGATATGAGAGGAAGATCAGCTTCGCGGGAGTTCTGGATGAAAATGAAGACTCCAAAGATTCTCTCCACAGCAGCAGCCACACCCTCAAGTCGGATGCAGGCGCCGAGGAGAAGAAAGGTAGGGAAGCGCAAGGGTCGCTTCCTGCTTCTGCCTTTCTCACAGGAAGTATTTGGCCTGGGGTCTAAAGTACAAATCTGTGCCCAAATTCTTGACTCTACACAATGTGATCCCAGAGACTCTTCACAGCCGGTGAGGTAGGAAACACCATTAGTTAGAGGTTAAACTTGGCATCTAGACTGCCTTGGCCTCAGTGCCTGGTTCAGCAATTCTCCCTTGACCACAATGAATATGATGCCATCAGCCTTAAGATGACCTGTTATTTTATTAACCAATACAAATGGGAAAACATCCAAATTCAACTATTTTGCAGTAATCCCTTATAACTTTACTTTTTCTTGACAGAGGACTTTGAGACAATAAAATATATGGATATAGTCACTGTGATTACTACATATAATTCTTTGGTAGTGAAAAAGAATATAGCTAAAATATGCTGGTTAAACTTAAATATACAGTCCAAATTTCTTAATTACTTTTCAGTTCAAATTTGTCAGCGTCCATGTTTTTCTACAGGATGCTGTCTTCTGTAGCATCAGATTGTTAATGACACACCAGCTCAGAAGTGGATCAAAGGCTCATGTATATATAATGTGTAGAATAAGAGATAATAAATAAAAAAAAGCCACAAGCTCAACAACTGCATAGCAGAAATGCCTACCTTAGTTTTGGAAACCAGCTAGAACAGTAGGAACCTGGCCTGTCTTGAGTTCCTCTTCAGGACTGTCCCCCTTATACCTTGACCTACTTCCTCATCCCTCTTTACGGCCTGACTAGGTAATAGCAGATAGTCTGCAGGTTTTGCTGCTGATGCTTACATAGTCACAGACAAAAGCAAGAGCCATTATATTTCAGCTGTCACTTGGTGTGATGAACCCTAAGTTCAATTTCACATACGTCAAAATGTGAAGCTGACCCTAGTAAAATGGGTAATATATGGCCCTTCTCTGTATGACCATGTATACATGACTTGCCTTTAAATCCACAGTCCTCTCTTCTAGTCAGTCAGATGACCAGTCTCTGTGCTATATCCTTAGAGCTTTAACTAAGGCAGTGCAGGTAAAACAGGATGAATACACAGAGCAAATGAAAGAGCATGTTAAGTTACCATTGCCATCCTTATCGTCCTGCATTGTGAGCAGCTAAGTCAGATCTCAACACAGAAAAAAACTCCAGCTAGGCCTGAACAGTGTCGGTTTTAAGCAAGGCTCCCCTAAAATGTCACCTTCACTATCCAAAGTTTTTAGTTTTAAAATTTCATTGTCCTTCAATGCTTTTTGTTAAGAGTTTATATCTTAAAAAAAAATCTGTATATCTTGGTAGAAAGTTGATTGTGTGCATTGAAATAATTTCCAGTGTCCCATAGACAATGAATGAGTGCATATTTGATTACTTTAATCGATGGGTGGCATGGTTCTATATAGACAAAACACAAAATATTTTGTCTTATAAGAAATGGGGGTGCAATGGGGAAACTTTGAATATTTCAACAGCAGAATGTTACCACATTTAACATATAAATATCATTATATGATATCCTATTGAATTTTGATGACAAGAGGTTGTGTTCTAAGAAAAATAAATAGTCTCGTGGAATTTATAGACATGAAGAAGTATTAAGACGATGTGATTTAAAATATTTACTGTATATGTATCCAATGAAGGTAACTTCCATTTTTAAACATATACCAACAATAATTTAATTTGGAAACTAGTCTTTAACCATTTGAAGTTATTATTACAATTATTATCTAAATTAAATAAAAATTCCAAATATCCAGTTAAGCTTAAACAAATTCTACATCATCTTATAAAGCAAAAGATTGGCTTAATTATAAACCCATGTCAACTTCATTATTATTTATATAGCTGTCTTTACTGATAAAACTCTCACATGCTAAGTGATTTTTGTTATACAATATGCCTATGTTAATACATAAATGTTGTCTTATAAATAGATAACAGAAACCTAAAACTATGAATAAAATGACAATATAACCCTAAAATGTTCTAAGTTAGTTGGCAAAAGTCTCTCTAAAGATTTGTAAATATTCCATAAGCCATTTGACAAACACATGAGCTACTACAGCCAATACAAAATTGTGACAATGGGACACTGATAAGTGTAATTACTATTTTTTTCTAAAAGTTATACCATCTGTTTTTATAAAAGCAAAAAAATCAGCTCCTGAAATTAGTAACTTGAGAACAAGTAGATTCTACCAAAGAAAATGATCATGAACTTATTCTTAGAAACTGAGAATATCTGCCCAAGATCACTAGGCAGAATCTACAAAATACTTTTATTCCTGCCCCAAAGACAAACTAAAACCGGTATTTCAAAATACAGAAGCATCTCCTCGTTTTGCATGCAGCTCTATACCAGGAGTTATTACAAGTTCCCAGAAGGCAGCCACCAACAAGAGCGTGTAACTGCATCTGTTTCCATTCATACTAATCCATAGCTAAAAGCATATCACTATTAGCATAGCAATTAGTAACACTAAGTGCTAGACTTTCTAAAGATATAATGGAAAGTAAAACAAGTTAGAATATAGGAAGAGCTATGGTTGGAGAAGGTCCTAATAATGGACATTAAACTGAGAGACTTTCATGCGATATTTCAGTAATGGAGGGATCTGCAGACTGAGTGTTCCCAACAGAGGCAACTACGAAGCCAAGGATGTCATGAAGACTGAACTTAGAGCATTTGGAGGAGGGCGAAAAGATCAACAAACTCATTTCAGAATGAACTGGGCAGGAGTGCCAGGAGATAGGTCAGAAAGGGAAGAGGCAGGCAGAGTCTGGTAGATATGCTTAAAATTGTAATTATATTTTAAATATGTTGGAGGTTGAGGGTCAGTGTATGTGACTAAATGTGTAGAAGCTAGGGAGGAAGGAACAGTTAAAGGTAGCTGCACTGGACCAGAGAAAAGGTAATAGGACTTTGAATGCTTGTGATATTAGCAGGACTTGCTAATGCTACCGTATGGAAAGGGAGATGTGTTATTCACATCAGATGAATTTGTTTCATTTTGATTTTAGTTCTTATTGTTAGGAGACATATAGCATATGGTCTCTATGTTTCAGTAGCATATAGTCTCAGATGGTATATTTCATGAGCGACATTAAGCCTGAATTCTCCTCACTGTGTCCCTTGTAAGTAATCGATGTTGTAATTCTGAACCCTAATTTTTCAGGCTGCAGGAGGTCTCCAATTATCTTTTATGTTAGAACAATTTCTCAACGTTAAGTCTTTTTCAGATCCCACTAATTTGAGGTTATTTAGTTTCATTGGTAGCCTAAAAAGTATCATAAACTCAGGCAAAAGGCATTAGTGTGCACCTCTACAAAAATAAAATCTATGAATTATCACTGTAATCTACTCTTTCTTTCTCAATCTACTTACACATGAAATTGCAGTAGTGGTCATTAAAAATAATTAGCTATGAAGTCCAAATTAAACCTAAAAACAATATTGAAAAATACAGTTGGGTGAATCTTGTGTGTTAATCAAAATACAGCATTGTACCCTACAGCTTTTGTGGCTTTTATCCAGCTGTGCTGCCAGAAATTCTTCCAGATGTGCGGTTCTATTCAGGTGTATGCAGGAAGCCCCAAGAAGCTGGTATAAGCAGAGCAGGGGTAATTCTAGACTCTTTCAGTCACAAGAGTAATCCAGAGACTAAACATTCACTTCTCTATGAATTATTCAGACCTCCTTACATGGCGTCAAAAGTTACATTCAACTAACATTTTAAAGGATACGAGTTTTATTATTGGCTTATGTAAGCATTTTGTTAAAGGGAGAAACCTGAAACTAAAATTTGAACTTCCTGATTTCAAAATACATTTACAAGCTTGATTTAAATATTGAATAGGAAATCTTATATCTTTAATACAAGTGTGTAAGGCTAGCCCCTTTCTTCTAATGGTTTTGAACCTTGAATATTTTTGCTTTATCCTACAATTATAAAAATTATATTGATAATATGAAAATTAAAAAGAAAAGAAAAACATATATATTGCCTCAAAAATAATTGTGCTTTTGATTTTTATAAAGTAAGTTTGAAGCTTCCACGTGTTTCTTTCTCCATTTTATTTCCACCCTGGTGACTGTTTCTTCCAGAATACTAAGCACGAATAATGCATCCCATTCTTGTTACATGTAAACTGTAAGATATCTCAGGGCATGCAACATTTATACTTACATCTCATTAAATATTTGATTAAAAGGAGGAAGATATGAAATCCCTAAATGATTGGAAACAGAGCTACCTCAAACACACAAATGTGCATGCACACAAGCATTCTCCTGAGAAGCAATCCCTCACAGTCTTTGCTAAGGAACAGAGTTACACAGCTCTGACTGTCAGAGAGAGGCCACTTCTTGTGCTTATTTTTAATAGATTACTCTACAGATAAGGGTTCCGATGGCAGTTCTCAGAATTCTGTAAGTCCCGTTTCACAGGAAAAACAAAAGCAGTAGAGTCTGATTCTATTGAACCAAATAGGAATGTGATTAAAATGTGGTAGCTCTTCATGGTGATGGTGCTGTGTAAACACACTCATGCTTATGAACCTTGGGCCAGAGTGAGAGCCAATTGTTCCCAGCCACAATGTGCATTTTGCCCAAGAAAGATACTGCACCAGCCCTTCCTGGTCATCCTGGTCTCCTGCCTGGTGAAATGTGGTGACTGGGGGCTGGCAGCAAGGCCAGAAATGCTGCTCAATCAAGACAGCGAAGAGTTGGCTGGTCAGGGACAAATTGGGAAGAATGTGGATATAAACTGGCTGGGGAAAACTAAGCGGGGAAAGCCCTATTTTATTCTTTCAATACAGTTCCCAGCAGGAAGATCAGGATAGGAGGTTCTCGCCTGCTCCAGATTAAAGGAACCCGCAGTTTCCAGGTGAAGAAGGGGGGTTCCTTGTCCAGCATCCGCCGAGTCGGCAGCTTAAAGAGCAGCAAGTTATCACGGCAGGACTCAGAGTCTGAGGCTGAGGAGCTGCAGCTGTCCCAGAGCAGGGACACTGTCACTGACCTAGGTAACATAGAAGAGTGGGGTGTGCAGGGACGTGGGGGGTAAGAAGGCAGGACTCACGTCCTGGAACAGCCAAGTCCATTTCATCCCATGTACACAGAGCAAGACCAGAGCCTGAGGTTAGACAACTCCTTCTGTAGAGAAGCACACTGACTCTTGAGCAGGTGCGTGTGGCATGTGTAAGTCGGTCCAAGTGCAAACTCCGAGTCAGCAGCTGATGTGGGGATCTGAGAGTCTACATTTGAAATAAGCTTCCTTGTGATGCCAGTGCTGCTGACTCAAAGACCACACTTTGAACTTTGAGCATAGAAAGTGTTCACTAGAGAACAGAAACTGCTTTGGCAACAAGGACAATTTTAGAACCCCAGGTATCCATACTACTCATTAGGACTTTGAAAGTCAAATGTTTGAACTTTGTTACTGTAGCCTTCACTTGACAGTAAAATACAAATAAACAAAAATCACTAAGAAGGGGTGGTTGTTTGGACCTGAAACCTAGGGAATCCTCAGTGGGTCACCCGCTTTCTCAAGGGTGTGTTTTCACCAACCATCTGGTGGGAATAGTTGTTTATTCATGATCTTCATAGTCTGTCTTTAAGGATGCTTTTGTAAAATGTGTCAAGTGTAGAGGATGAGCTATACATTCAGTCAAAGCACTAAAAGTCATAGATTACCTCTGTAGGACATGAAGAGTCTCCAAATCTCCTAATGTAACGGTTGTCCAGTATTTGGGCATCTTGACAGACAAGGAAAGAATAAGAAGGATAAGTGTCGAGCTCAGCAGCTGCCTAGAATTAAGTCTTTGGTGCATGTTCAAGAACATTCTCCCTACCAGTCAGTCTCCACTTCTAAGGCAGCAGTAAGTGTGGCTAAATGATCGATAAAGTCTGTCAGACAGAAGCAGAGTGTCTAATCAAAGGAAGTTTAAAATAGAAAATGCTTCTACATCCACCCACCCTCGCCTTTAAAAATAGCTAATTTATGCATTAGTTAAGATTCAACTTATTTTTTCACAAGGAGATAATAGGGCAGAGTGATTTTTGTTGTTGCAGGGTGAATATAACTTTATCATCAGTTAGTGTTTAGAATTATATGAACTGATCAACCCATCCTCACCAGTCACATCAAAGTAACCAGACTAGAGATGCAGCTTTGTTGTCAAAGAGGATCTGTGAAGCTTTTGGATTTGAGGGCAAGGCTTTGTGGGTAGTAAATAAGATGGTGAGATCTCCTTTATATTTCCCATAGACAAGACACAAGGCTTCCTTACAATTGGCTGTCATTGCTGTCAAATCACCGTAATCCTTCCAAGGCCCCCTCGCAGCACTGGATAGCTCCCATAGCAAAGCCAGATGTCTATAATAGTAGTACAGAGGCAGCCACAAGCCCAGGGAGGCATCATGGCCCTATGATGTAAGTGCAGGTTAGCTTGTGTTCCTGGTTAGCTACAACTGTGAAGTCTGAGCAGCCTGGAATGGATTTGGGCACACTCAATATGTAACTGGCTCATCTCAAGGACTTGACTCTTTTTTTTTCCCCTCTGCTCTCATGTCTTAACATTGGAAGCCACCATAGCAGAGATCATCAATGTCTTTGTACTTGCCAGTCCAGTTTGTGGTTAGGGAACAGCTCTTTTTAATAATCTTCTATCAAAGTCCTATGCCCTGTAACCTGTTGGGCCATGGTAGAGTCTGCCCTTGGTTCAAAAGCATGGACAATGACACCATACCGGCGTGTTCTCCAGGGAGACTGAACATTGAACTCTTTCTTGGTGTTCTTTTTTGAAGAAGGGAGCCCTTGGAGTGCCAGTGAACCCAGCATTGAGCCTGAGGGAATGAGCACTGCCGGCACAGAGGAGAATTACCACAGAAATATGTCATGGCTTCATGTAAGTATCCATCTTGGGAGATCTCTAGAACAAAACCTTCCTAGACTGTCAATATAAGTGTGCTCCCAACAGAAAGTGTAGCCTCGTATTTTAGTTGAAGCTCTCAATTCAAAGTGGGAATATTATGCCGCTGGATTGTGTCGAGGACTAACTAAGTAAGGTCTTTTGTTATATGGCTAGCTTCTAGGTCACCAGACCTCAGGAAAAACTCTGAGGGACTGAGCTACGTCAATGCTCAAAATGTCCTGAATGACACATGCCAGGCGTCGTGGTCAATTTTAAACATATTGCTATAACCTTGCGAGCAAGGTCAGTGTCATTCTTGATTCTGTGTTAGAGATGGGCAGGGATAGCGAGTTGGTATAAATATGTTGTACTCATCTGCAAAACTGTCAAAACTATAAATAATTTAATTTAAAAACATTAAATGGATCAAGGAAATTCTAGATGAGAAGATCAAGCCTCAGATAGAAAGCCAGGGTGCAAAGGCATGAAGGCCTCCCTTGGGCAAAGATGGAGCAAAGATTTGAACTGGGCATGAAGAAGTAAGGTGCTTTCTCATATTCTTTTTTTATTGATTTTTATTGAGCTCTACATTTTTCTCTGCTTTTTTTTTTACTGATTTTATTTAGTGTTTTTTGCATCAATATTCATGAGTGAGATTGGTCTGTAATTCTCTTTCTTAGCAATGTCTTTATGTGGTTTGAGTATTTGTAGCTTCATAAAAAGAGTTTGGCAATGTTCCTTCTGTTTCTATTGTGTGGAACAATTTGAGGAGTATTGGCATTAGTCCTTCTTTGAAAATCTTGTAAAATTCTGAGCTGAAACCATCTAGTCCTGGGTTTTTTGTTTTGTTTTGTTTTGTTTTGTTTTTTTGGTTGGGAGACTTTTGATGACTGTTTCTATTTCTTCAGCAGTTATAGGTCTGTTTAATTTGCTTATCTAATCCTGATTTAATTTTGACAAGTGACATTTATCCAGAAAGTTGTTCATTTCATTTAAGTTTTTCAATTTTTGTGGAGTACACGTTTTCAGAATATGATCTGATGATTCTCTGGATTTCCTCCATGTCTGCTGTTATGTTATGTCCCCCTTTTCATTTCTGATTTTGTTAATTTGATATTCTCTCTCTGCCTTTTGGTAAGTTTGGATAAAGCTTTGTGTATTTTGTTGATTTTCTCAAAGAATTAACTCTTTGTCTCAATGATTCTTTGTATTGTTTTTTTTCTATTATGTTGATTTCAGTTCTCAATTTGATTATTTCCTGCTGTCTAGTTCTCGGGTGAATTTGCTCCTTTTTGTTCTAAAGTTTTCAAATGCTCTGTTAATTCACCAGTGTAAGATTTTTCCAGCTTCTTTATGTAGGTGTTTAATGCTATGTACTTTCCTCTTAACACTGCTTTCATTGTCCCATAAATTTGGGTATGTTTTGTGGTCATTTTCATTGAATTTTAGGAAGTCCTTAATTTTTCTTTATTTCTTCCTTGATCCATTGATGATTCAGGTGATCATTGTTTAATTTCCATGTGTTTGTGGGCTTTTTGGAATTAGTATTGCTGTTGACTTCTAGTTTTAAACCATGATGATCTGATAAGATACATGGGATTATTCCAATTTTTTTGTATCTGTTGAGGTTTGTTTTCTTACCGAGCATTTGGTCAATTTTTGAGAAGGTTGCATGAGGTGCTGAGAAGATATATTCTTTTATATTTGGATGGAATGTTCTATAGATGTCTGTTAAGTCCATTTGGGTCATAACATCTGTTAGTTCCCTCATTTCTCTGTTAATTTTTTTTGTCTGACTGACCTGTCCAGTGGTGAGAATGGAGTGTTAAAGTCTCCCACTATTAGTGTATGGGATTTAATGTATTATTTAAGCTTTAGAACTGTTTCTTTTACATATGAGTTTGTCCTTGTATTTGGGACATAGATGTTCAGTGTTGAGATTTCCTCTTGATGGATTTTTTCCTGTGACTGATATGAAATGTCCTTCCTTGTCTCTTTTGATTGATTGTAGTTTGAATTCTATTTTGTTAGATACTAGGATAGCTTCACCAGCTTGTCTCTTAGGTCCATTTGATCGGAAAATTTTTCCCCCAATGCTTTACTCTGAGGTGATGTCTATCTTTGAGGTTGAGGTGTGTTTCTTGTATGTAGCAAAAGAATGGATTCTGGTTTTGTATCCAATATGTTAGTCTGTGTTTTTGTAGGTGAGTTGACTCCATTTATATTAAGGGATATTAATGACCAGTGATTGTTATCTCTTGTTGATTTAGTTTCAGTTGTTGGTAATGTTAATTTCTGTGTTTTCCCCTTCTTTGGAATTTGTTGCTGTGAGATCAATTGTCTGTGTTTTTGTTGATGTAGCCAACTCCTTGTGTTGGAGTTTTCCTTCTAGTACTACACATTGGTTAAATCTGATTTTGTCATGGAATATTTTATTTTGTCTTTTTATAGTGATTGAAGGTTTTGCTGGGTTTCGTAGTCTGGGCTGACATCTGTGGTCTCTTAATGTCTGCATAGCACTTGACAAAGACCTTCTAGCTTTCATTGTCTCTAATGAGAAATCAGGTGTAATTCTGATAGGTCTGCCTTTATATGTTATTTGGCCTTTTTCCTTTGCAGCTCTTAATAGTCTTTTTTTATTCTGTATGTTTAAAACGTGTTTTGATTATTATGTGGTGTGGGGACTTTTTTTTTGATCCAGTTTATTTGGTGTTCTATAAGCTTCTTGTATCTTCATAGGCATATCTTTCTTTAGGTTGGGAAAGTTTTCTTCTATGATTTTGTCAAATATATTTTCTGTGTTTTTGAGTTTAACTTCTTCTATATCTATTATTCTTAAGTGTCCCATATTTTCCTGGATATTTTGGGTTAAGCTTTTATTAGATTTAATGTTTTCTTTGACTGATGAGTCTATTTCTACTATTGTATTTTCAATGCTTGAGACTCTTTCTTCCATCTCTTGTATTCTGCTGTTTATGTTTGCATTTGTGGTTCCTGATCATTTTCTCATGATTTCTGTTTCTATAATTCCCTTGGCTTGTGTTTTCTTTATTGTCTCTATTTCAGTTTTCAAGTCTTGAATGGTTTTTTTCATATGTTTGATTGCTTTTTCTTATTTTTCTTTAAGGAATTTACTGATGTCTTCTAATTTTTTGTTTGATTTTTCTTCCATTTCTTTGAGGGATTTCTCATTTCCTCTTTAAGAGTCTCAAACATTCTCCTAAAGTTATTTTTTAGGTCATTTTCTTCTATTTCATCTATATTTGGTTGTTCAAGTCTTGCTATTGTAGGGCCTCTAGATTTTACTGGTGTCGTGTTGCTCTTTGTGATATTGCATGTGTCCTTACCTTGCCTACACATCTTTCCCTCTAATTAGTGTGATTGGGGCTGTCTGTCACTCTGGTGATTAATCATCTGGGTGCCAGTGGATCCAAGGCTCAGATGGTTGTTCTTCGTGGTACAGTCAGTGCCATGGTTCTAGTTACCCCACTGGTCACTGCATGTTCCTGGAGATCACTCAGAGCTCCTGGGGTTTGCTGGGCTCCTGTGGAGTTTGCTGTCTTGGGCCTGCTCTGGCCTAGGTTGCTGGCTCAGACTTGTTCCTGTAAATGTCCTTGGTCTGGATCTGCTTCTGGGGAGGTCCCTGGCTTGGAGTTTGTCCTGCAAAGGTCTCTAGCTCTGATCAACTTCTTTGGAGATCCCACATCCCAGACTTGGGTACACCCAGACCCTCAGAGGACCTGGCTCAGGCTTACTCCCTCGGAGGTCCCAGACTCACGCCCAGACTCTTCAGTGGTTTTTGGTTCCTGCCTACTCCCTCCAGACCAATGCCTGGACCCACAGAGATCTCTGGTTCCTGCCTACTCCCTTGGAGGTCCCAGATCACGCCCAAACTGGCAGAGGTCCTGGCTCATGACTAGTTCCTGGGAGGTACTAGACTCACGCCCAGACCAGCAGGGGTCCTGGCTCAGGTCTACTCCCTGGAAGGTCTCAGATTCATGCCTGGACATACAGCCGTCTCTGATTCTGGTCCTGAGTCCACTCACTCAGCAGTTGCTTCTCTGTACCTGCTTTTGTGGAGTTCACTGTCTCAGGTCTGCTCCAGCCTAGTTCACTGGCTCAGTCAGTTCTGCCTCCACAAATGTCCCTGGTCTTGAACCACTCCTGTGGAGCTTACCATCTCAAGCCCACTCTGACCTAGATCGCTGGCCCAGTCCTGATTCCGCAAATGTCCCTGGTCTGGATCTGCTCCTGCTCCAGTGGAGTTCACTGTCCCAGGCCCATTCCTGCCCAGGCCACTGGCTCAGGCCTGCTCTTGTGGAGTTTCCTGCCTCAGGCCTGCTCTGGCCTAGGTCACTGGCTCAGTCCACTCTCTCATATTCTGAAAGAAGCAAACTTCCTGCTACTCCTCTTGGTCTACTTCCTTACTATAATCCATCTTTTCATGAACAGGCAGATGAAAATTATAAGGACACAATAATAGAGATATTTACACATTTTGTAGAAACCCATAGGATGGGCAGCACCAAGTGAGCTACCTGATATCCACTATGGACTTACTGATGATATGTCAGTGCTGGCTTATTGTGATAAGTGAATCACTGTGATGCAGGGAGTTGATAGCAGCCAAGGTTGTACATGTACGCATCCAAGATGTGCTAGGATGTTATCTGTACTTTTAGCTCAAGTTGACTCTGTATCTTTAGAAATGTTTAAAGGCTTTATAGGATGCTATTCTACATCAAGGACTCACTCTGTCCTGACAGATAACAAAGAATTTCAGTATTTCTTTCTGCAGCACAGTAAAGTTGTCAGAATTTCTATTCTATTTGTCAGCCGACTTCCACGTGGCTTCTTTGCTATTTAGTCAGCAAGCACATAGAAAGGAAAGGCATCTCTCAATGCCTCCCTTCCTCTCTATCCTGTCTTTGCTGTTTTCCTGCAGAGGTATGGCTCCTATTCAGATGGGAGCTAATGGATAGCAGAGTTGGAATCTCAGTTTCTTCTGTTTGTCTGATATTTGGGGCTACAGCTCTACCTCGGGTCTTCCGTTTATGCACTCACTCTGATCCCTCCAGGAGCTTGGCCAATGAACTTGGAACATGCCATGCCCGTGCATAGAGAGGCCAGGGGAGGATGCTGGCTGTCTTCCCTTTTCACTCTTCATTTTATTCGTTTAAAGAAGGGTATCTCACTAAACTCAGAGTTTATCCATTTCAGCTAAACTGGAAGGCAAGCCAGCCAACCAGCCAGCAAGTTCTTGGGATCTACTTTTCTCTGCCTTCCCAGTGCTGAGGGTACAGGCACATACAATCACACAGAGATTTTATGTGGATGCTGAAGATTCAAACTAATTGCTTTCATGCCTGTACAAGTACTCTTTACACACTGAGCCATCCTGATAAACCAGAAGCTGCTCTTTGTTCTTTACTTTGTGGGGTCCTGAGTCATGACAAATTGTTTCATTAAAGACAGCAGGAGACAACTAAAAAGAGGGAAATCACAGTCATATGCAATTTAGTCAGAAAGGGGCATTCCAGCACCTTGCTATATGCTATCAGTGAAAAACAAGATGTTGGACTAACTCAAATTCAGTGGGAGGAGCTTTCACAGAGTATAGATAGCAGATTGTATAAATCATTAAGCATCCTCTTAGAAATAAAACTAGTAAAGGAATATCAGTGTAGAATGTTAAAGTTATAGATTATAGATTGCTAAACAAGTTGTTGCTGACCTCAGAACTTCTATATCAGAATTCTCTGAAGCAAAGTCTAGTGAAATACTGCGTGTGTGTGTGTGTGTGTGTGTGTGTGTGTGTGTACTTGAAAGGTGTTCTTGGTATTTCTCTTGACCACCAGATTCAGAGTAACATGAGAACCTTTTGAGTTCTTTCCTATGTCCTCCCCATACTACAGTATGAAGCAGCGTATCAGAAGATACACAGTAAATTTGGAAGTGAGCTGGGTATTCTACCAAGACACCATTTATATTTGTTGAAAATGTTGGAGGCTTAGATATAGTTTGTTTGACAGGAGAATGCAGATGACTGTGGCTTGCATTTTTGCCTCAGAATAAGCAAGACATGTTAGTCTTACGGCACCCTGGGCCTGCTCTGCCAAGTAGGTTCAGTTGCCCTCCTCTGCTTGCTCGGGTTTTTTGTTCTCATTCATCATGGCACACAGTCCTTCACAGGTTAGTCCCCAAGGTGGGAGCTGGTTTCCTGGGTGACAGAGGCATTTACAGTGTTGCTTTATACAAACTATCTTTTAAGGAAGGTTACTTTCAATGTTATGCACCTGGGTTCAGAATATAGCACCCACAACCTGGTCACAACTGTCCATAACTCACATTCCAAGGGATTCAGCACTCCCTTTTGACTGTCACAGGCATGCATGGTGCAGATACAGATGTGCAGATGAAACACTCACATGTGTAAAATAAAAGAAATCTTAAAACATTTTGAAGTTGCAAACTTGGAGTCTTGGAGCTTCTGTGACAGAGCACTTGCCTAAGATTACACAGTTCCAGGAGTTTGATCCTAGCACCACAGAAAACACAAGCCACAGATTTGGGATGAAGAATTGTTGCTCTGTGATGGATACCTGTTTTGCATGTGCAAGGCCCTGAATCTGAGCACCAGAATTGCAATTTTAATTTGTATATTTCCGTTGCAAATTCGTTTCTATGTTAAAATAACTGTATCATTTAAATCAGCCGAGTGCGTTTCTAGAATCCTAGTAAGAAAATCTTAGGAGATGTGTTTGAACCAGTTAAAGTATTTCAGACAGGGAGCTAGAGTGGCTTAAGAGTCAGAATAGGAAGTGTGTGTAAGGTGGCAGGGCATCAGCGGGAGGGCTGAAATGAGGCTTTCTGCTGGGGTTCAAGTTCCAGTTCACGATGACTATCCAGACTGAAGGTGTGGAAGTGTTCTCAAGCACCACCCAGTGCAGGCGGGAGTTGAGGGGGCACCCAGGTGTTCAGGGTCAGTTAGAGAACTCTGGAACTGGGCTCACCATTGTAGACTCTTCCTTCTGGCTCCTGTCACAGCGGAAGAGCTGGGAGGGATAAGATTTTGAAACTATTTGGAAGCCATATACTTCACAACCAGTGCTCATGTGTTTCTAAAAGTCGCTCTTATTAACTAAGTATGGAGGGAGAACAAAGGCCAAATAATCAGAGCCCCATAGCTAGCTATTGACCTGTGGGATACTGTTTTTGCTCACTGATGAAGAGATCTTGCTCTGACTCTCCATCTTCCGTTCCTGTGTTCCCTTGTTGCCTGGTTGAATATGTGGGTATTTATTTCCTTTCCAGGTCATGATCTTACTATGCAACCAACAAAGTTTCATTTGCACCCATGTGGACTACTGCCACCCCCACTGCTACCTGCACCACAGCCGCTCCTGTGCCCGGCTCGTCAGGGCCATTAAACTGCTGTACGGGGACAGTGTGGACTCCCTGCGTGAGAGCAACAACATCAGCAATGTGGCTTTGAGGGGCAAGAAGCAGAAGGAGGTGAGTGAGCAGTCACTGGGCAGTAGAGCAAGGGCAGGAGAAAAGACGTATTTATAGTGATGTTTTTATCTGCCCTGGATATTAAATTTCGAGCATAGGCAATTATAGAAAGCAGACTACACAGATCTATGCAGCGCTAAGAAACAGCAGGAGATGTGTGAGACAGACAGATGCTTTGTCTGTGTTTGTGAGTCAACATGCAGCATTACCCAGACTTTGTTTTATAGACAAAAATTCCGGGAGTTTGTGGTGGTAAGAAAAAGAAGGGAGAAGAGCTTCTCCCTGGGACCTGCGAACAGGACACCCCACATGACAAGTAACACTCCGCAGGGATGGTTAGGGATTGTACAATGAGAAAGAGTCCTGGATTATCCACGTGGACTCAGTGTTGTCATGTGTGTCTTCACAGAGGAAGAAAAGACTTCTGGGAGTCAGGGGCAGAGCAGGTGACAACAGCAGACAGCAACGTAGAGAGGGGGCCATGAGCCCAGAGGATGCAATGTCTAGCCAGAGGACAAGGGGTTACACTCTTTAAAAGTCTAAAATCATCACTCCTCAGAAAATCCCTGCGCAAAAAATCAGTGAGATGGTTGTTTAAAAGTGTGTGCTGCATACAGAAAGCTATCACAGTTTTGCTAAGATGCGTCAAGGGAGGAAGACTAAATGGAACCAAGTAATTACTGTTATTAAATTGGGAGTGTGGGGATTTTCTGCTTTTTTCATAGTTTTGTCTTTTTTTTTTAGCAACTCTGATATGCACATGTATTATTTTTGAGTAGAAAGATACACCACACCGGTAGGGATTTTAAATACCACACATCTTTGCAGAAGCTGTAAAACACACCTCTACACCTCTGTGCAAAGATATAGCTATAAAATAATTGTAAAGATTTTTATGGTATATATTTATTTATATACATATGTATACTTTATATACAGCATATTTCCTATTTATTAATTGCTTTATATTTCTAAGTATGCATTTCCATGGTTTTTATTCTTTTTTTTTTTTTTTCAAAACCATAGCTAGAGCTCTGATCTCCTCTTTTCTATGTAGGTTCATTTTTAAAGATGGTCCCAGGCCAGTCCTATAACGGATTCATTGTCTTGGATTTTTTTTTTTTTGTCAGATTTTCAGGTGACTTTCTCGGGGCATGTGCATGCTTGTAGATTTGCTGTTTCTTTTGAAATCTCTCCATTTATCACACTATGAAGCTTTGCCAAAAATGCTTGAGTTTACCTTTTCTTTTGGCATAGAGGGGAAAGTGTTTCATTGGCCTGGCCCGCCTGGCAAAATAAATAAATGAGCTTTATTCTGTGAGGGGATTGCACAGTTTGGAATGAAAAAAAAAAAAAAGCAAAACAGGAAGGAATCCGAAGTCAGAATTAACAAACAAGGAAGGACCAATTCTTCTCCAAACTGTTCTGTTCTGTCCCTCCCAGACTTGGCACCTTGGGAGTCAGCGGCAAGCATTGTTTCATCTCTGTGTAGAGAAAACAGCCTGTTCTGGAAGCAGGCTAAAGGCACAGTTTGCAAAGAAGAGCTGTTGTTTTCTATAGGTTTTTTTTCCCCCAAGAAGCCACTTTACCTATCCAATTTATGTTGAGATGATGGGAAGTATCGATTTATTCTTCCCCAGTCGCCCTGTCTGCCTTTCTGTATCTTAACACTTGAAATACTTTTTTTCTTCCCTGACCACATACTTGAGCGTGTACCTTGGAATAGAGTGTATTTATCTAGATTAACTTTTATTTAAAGTTTCTTTTAGCCACTTGAAAGAACATAATCAAACCTGGAATGAAAATCAGGAAACCTTTGTTTTTCTCAAGTGTGGAGAATAACTAGCTTTGCAACTTGGTCAGAGCATGCCCCTGCTTGTGCCCTTGTTTCTTCAAACGTAAAAGAGAAACTTCAGAAGAATCATATTTAATACCCTTTTCCTCAACAAAGCCAATGCTTTTCAGAAAGTGTTAAGAAAAATTATACCTGTTCAAAACAAGTTATACCATCAATTAGAAGGTATACCGTGGAGAAAAGCACTCTGGGTTTTGTAAACGTGCCTTCAATACATACTTCTCCTTCCCTTAGTGCTCAGATAAGTCCTGCCTAAGGACTCCTTCACTGAAGAAGAGGGTTCCAGATGTCAACCTGGAAGGGAAAAAGGACTCCGGGATGCTGAAGTACATCAGGCTTCAGGTATTTGCATGTGGACCAGAAACATGCATAGGGCATTAGCAGGGAAGAGCCCCCTACAGCCTGCCAGTCAGGGTTTGGGACACAAAATAAAAGCTGGACTTGTGTTGCCATGAATACTCACTCTCTTGACTGGCAAGCAAAAACCAAGTGTGCAAGGGGTGGAAAAATCCTTTTTGCTAAAACATCCAGTTACACAGAGTGAGGCCTAGAATTGGGGTGAACTGCAACTTTCACACTTTGTGGTCTCCGATGGAGCTAATCTCCCACTAGCATGGCTCTCCACAGGTTTCCAAATGAGACCATCTATATCCATACGCCCAGTCTGCTTCTCTGTCTCTAAGACATGGGCAAGGAATTTCATTTCCCTAGCGCTTTGTTGTCTCCTCTATGAAAAAAGGATCGGTTTTAACCCAGGCTTTTTCAGACCCAGGCCAGCTGGCCTTGGTGAATTCCCGATAGGACCTGAGACCCCAAGAACAATGGCAATGGGTTTTTGATCCTACTGCACCTATTGGTTTCGTGGGAGCCTAGGCAGTTTGGATGCTCACCTTACTAGACCTGGATGGAGGTGGGTGGTCCTTGGACTTCCCACAGGGCAGGGATTGCTCTTTGGGCTGACGAGGGAGGGGGACTTGATTGGGGG